TATCCAGGCAAAAATCGCATTAGATAACGTGCCGCTCACAAATTCCTCGCATCCAAAGAACTCCAATCCATCGATGCCCAGTCGAACTGCCCCGCTTGAAGATCTATCGACCCCGCCTGCCCATCATATCCCGAAAGACCGCCCGCGGGGCCCCCAAGAATATCACTATTGAAATTTCCCGCCATTGGCATCAAAAGGTCGTCTATGTTTATTCCCCCAATGCTTTCCGTTTGCTCTGTATTCCTATTTTGCGCAGTCATCTCCGCCACTTTCTCCCGGATCCCGACCAGTATTTTCGGTAACGGCTCCGCTGTTCCTTGGTTTTCCTGGGCTAGCTTTTCTCTCGCCTCCCATGCTTGTAGAACAATACTTGAGAAAAGAAGGAGTAATGGTCCGTATAGTTTCATTGCACCATTCATTCTCGCTTCGTAGTTTTCGCTCATTATATCCCAAGCCTTCTCCGCGTGATTTTCCGCCGGCCGCTTTTTTAAATTCTGGAGAATGTGAATATAAGCTGGAAACGGGAAGTGAAAATTGACAAACCACCGATAGCACTTGATCAGTGGGGAGCGCATGAGTTTCGTGTCACATTCGAGCATAGTCAGCGCATAGGAAACCGCGGTGCCACGGTGAAGATCCGATTGTTGCTCAGCAAGCGAATATTTCGCGTAATGCTCGACAAGATAGTTTTTGGCGATATAGCCTCGAGCCGTCCATATTGTTATGAACTGGGATGGAATTTCTGGATTACAAAAGGCGAGGTATTTCTCTTCGATTATTTTCTCGAGTGTTGAAACTTCACCGCCGTTTGGAAGTGAGCCATTCGGGATTTCTTTAACTATTTTGTACAAATGGGCATTCGTGAATTCGAGATGGAAGGGAGAATATCGGATGAAATCAGCAATCTCGCTTCGAACAACAGCGAAGGTTGCTTCTGTAGGCCTGCTATGGATCATCGGCGGCGTTTTCATCTCTGGTTGGATTTCAAAGTCATTGGTGTTGCTGGGGGGCTTGCAATCCCATGTTGGCGAGAGTAGGGTAGTCTTATGATCAACGGTTTCGCAGACACGATGGTCAACCATTACCAGTGACCACCACAGTCTCCTGCGCATTTCGGCTTCAAGAGCAGTATGCTTCGCATACGTTGACTCATTATGGATACCCATCCTTTGTGCCGCACGGATAGCAACCACTAGCAAAGATGATAGGGATCGTGGGTCTGTTTCCGGCTTCACAGAAACCTACAGCCCTATTATTAGCGAGACAAAATCCACATATTTTAGATGTCCGAGCAATTGTCAATATAATTTAGAACTTACCAAGTAGAGAAACATTGCGGTTAGGCAATCACGATCAGTGGTACGCAGAAATTCGCACTTAAGGAGAGCCTGCTGACATGGGAACTGATAACTCCTCGAAAGATCACTCTTCGTGGACCCAAATAACACAGGGCATTCCTCCTCAGTAAGGCTCGATATTGCCACACAGTAGATGCTAAAAAGTAGAGCTTCCAAAGTAGGACTGATAGTTGACAGGTCCCCAACTGCATCGATGATCCGTGTTTGCAATGTCGGAGTGTGTGTTACTTTAAGCATAGGATTGACATTTTCCAGGTATACATGCCAAAGTTTGAAAATATGTGCCTGGGTTGGGTGCAAAGCCGAAATATCGATGTTTGGATTAAGGGAGCCGAATAGAAGCGGGTTGTTGCTATCGATTTCATACATATAATCCCATGCTTTTCTAATAACGCCACCGTGAACATCCCCACCTTCTTGGAAGAGACCTTCGTCGTTTTCATCTTCTTCAGAACTTTCCTCTAATTGCTGTCCCGGTTAGTCGAGACGCGGAATACTGCGAGACAATGGAGGACACCTACACTTTGGCCCATAGCACGCCAGATATTGCTATAAGCATAATCAAGCAATTGAAAAATTATATGTATTAGTATTCCAAGTCGGAAATATACATTTCAATGATATCAGCGAAATAGCTCGAGATTTGGTATACATACCTCGGCTTACTCCCAGTAGGCTCCTTGATATCTGGGGAACCAGAACCCTCTTCACTTGGAGAGGTCTGATCAGTTAGTGGCGTATGCATTTGCTCCGCAGGGCCTCTATGTAAGGGCTCGAATTTTATGTTATGCTGTCTCAGCAGGCCTTCATAATAGCGAACCCGATCCAGTAGCTCCCGTTCGGGAAACCTACGGCGCCGCTGACGTTGGACAAGCCCTGCAGGGACACACTGTGCGCCAGCTCGCCTGCAGTTAGCGCATGGGAATTTGCGGTCGCACTTGACTTTGCGCTGTTGACAGAGCACGCATGCAAGAACCCGCTGGGGTTTCACAGGCGCGGATGTCCCCAATGTCGACATGGTCTTTTCGGGTGTTTCTGATATCTATATCCCGTTAACAGCATTCTAGATTACGGTTTGTATGAAATCTGATGGTAGTCGGGCGTTCGAGGAGTCCTGCCAAGACTTTCGGGTTTTTCTATTTCCCGACGCAGTTGCGCGCAGAGATGTTGACTTGAATATTAAGCGGGCTTCACTAAAACCCGAGGGCGAGGAAATATATATAAAATCCTGTTATGAACTGGTTCAGAAGTTTGGTCGATTTCTAGGTCTATAGAAGGTCCTTAGCATCCTAACTCCTGCACCCAATTATCTATATAACTAGACCTCTAGCATTGTCTTCAAATTCATCTTTTGGTTCTGAAGCTCCGGGCGCTCAGAGCATACAGACGATGGCGTCTCAAAATCCCCAACCCTCCCAAACTCCTACCTCGACTCTCGCAGATAATACAAGTACAACCGCGGATATCGCAGATGAGAAACCCAAAAATATTGAGGCCAAGCCTCAGCAAAACCAGTCGAAAGCTAAAACGATACTCGTTTTCGTTTCGGTGTTCTTGAGCATGTTTCTAGTAGCATTGGATAGAACGATCATTTCAACAGTATGCCATAGAAATACACCTTACAAATGTTCGAATCTTTCCGGACATACCCGTGAGTACTGATAGTCTTAACCTAGGCAATACCTCAAATCACGGACGAGTTCAACTCTATTACCGACGTCGGCTGGTACGGAAGTGCCTACTTGTTAACATGCTGCGCTTTTCAGCTTCTCCTTGGAAAAGTCTACACGTTATACTCAGTAAAAGCTGTCCTAATTGCCAATATATTACTATTCGAGATTGGCTCCGCGCTTTGTGGAGCAGCGCCAAACTCTGCTAGTTTTATTGTTGGGAGAGCAATTTCTGGAATTGGGGCTGCTGGAATATTTGCTGGAACTGTAAGCTCATTCCTGCGTTAAGGGCACCTAATATCAAACGTAGAATTCGAAACTAATGGAAGTTGATTGAGATGAGTAGGTCGTGTGTATCGTACACACAGTTCCACTTCACAAACGTCCACAGCTCCAAGGTCTATTCGGCGCCCTCTTCGGTTTAGCTTCAATCGTGGGACCTATAGTTGGTGGAGCATTTACTTCGCACGTATCATGGAGATGGTGCTTCTATATCAACCTCCCTCTTGGTGGCGTGTCACTCATTGTGATCCTTTTCTGGCTTCATATTCCTGAGCAGGATACCATGAAGATCCCATGGGAGAAGAAGCTGTTGCAACTAGATGCCATTGGGACCACAATGTTAGTACCTGGAGTTGTTTGTCTTGTATTGGCGATGCAATGGGGTGGGCAGAAGTATGATGTAAGCTCCATAACCCTCAGCTTTGAAAACTAAGGTCTTACTAACGCTTAAGATGCCAGTGGAACAATGGACGTATCGTGGCCCTGTTGGTTCTCATGTCTGTCCTTCTCGTTGGATTCGCTGCAGTGCAAATATTACTCCCAAAAACCGCAACACTACCAACTCGCATTTTCAAACAGCGAAGCGTCGTCTCAGGCTTCTGGCAGACCCTGTGCATCGGGTCTAGCATGTATATCTTCGGTAATCCAAAGACGCCCTACCTACATGATGTCTTTAAATATCTTTATGGGATTAGCTGAATGCTAATCTGTAAAACAATAGTTTACTTCCTCCCACTCTGGTTCCAAACAATTAAGGGTATCTCCGCCGTCGACTCCGGCATCCGAATCCTTCCTTTCATGTTGTCGATGGTACTCGGCTCCATAGTTAGCGGCGCTGTAACAACACGGATAGGATACTACAACCCCTTCGCAATTGTCGGGTCCTGTATCATGGCTGTTGGCGGCGGTCTCTTGACAACCCTCCAACTGGATAGCGGACCAGGCCAGTGGATTGGTTACCAGGTCGTCTACGGTCTCGGAATGGGCCTGTGCTTCCAAGTACCAAATCTTGCGGCACAAACAGTTTTACCAAAGGAGGATGTCCCAATCGGAATTGCGCTCATGTTTTTTGGGCAACTGTTGGGAGCAGCGATTTTCGTGGCGGTGGGAGAAAATGTACTCGGAAACCAGCTGGTAAATCTATTGGCTGGAGTAGGAGGAATTGATAAAACATCGATTACTGAAGGGGGTGCTACGACACTGTTAAACGAATTAGACGCAGGGCTCCGAGATACCGTGCTTGTTGCATACAACGAAGCATTGAGGAGGGTCTTTCAGGTTGGTTTGGTAGTTACGTGCCTCGCTGTTATCGGGGCGGCGACTTTGGAATGGAAGAGTATACTCAAGCAGCAAGGAGATAAAGGTACTAGCAAGGAAGTAGAGAATCAGAAGGAATAAGATCGAAAGACGGGTCTGGTCGAGTAATAGGTATTTAATATTGTATTCGTGTATATACATCTTGGCGGTTAGATTGAGTTCTCCTCTAATTACTAGACTGATGGGGAAATTGATAAATACTATTCACATTTGTAGCCGTGACCATAGTATTGTATTATTTCGTACCATACCATACGACAAATGACAACCCTACTGGACTATAACTTAGTATGGAAGCAGCCTTGCTTTTCGCTCTGGGATTATACATAAGCTTTATCTGTGAATCTTTTGAATTTCTCACATCAAATGATCAGGTTTCATGGTGTAGTTGGTTATCACGCGACCTTAACACGGTCGAGGTCTTGAGTTCGATCCTCAATGAAATCATTTATTTTTTTGCTCGGATTTCGACTACCGACAAAAATCCCCTATTTTTTTGCCCGATTGAATAAGGATCTCGAATACTCAATGGCCACCCTCACTACCATATTCAGGTAATCTAAAAGTCAGATCCTATACATTTTATAATTCAACCACAGCTACTTAGACTAATAACTATAACAACCACAATTGCTTTTAGCCTCGAACCCAGGCGCTCGAGGCAGTGAATTATTTTAACCTAGTTACAAAACTACAATTATAATTATTAGCTCCAAGCTAGTACGCGCAAGGTTGTAAAAGAAGCTACATATAGGATAATTAATCGAGAAACATAGCCGTACAACCTGTAAATAAGTTTAAAGGTATACTAGCAGGGCGGTTTCATGATCAGTCGGGTGTACATGCTACAGAGCGAAGCGGCGGAGCAGCCTCCAGTTCAAAAAAAATATATGTATACACACTTGTTGTTATTGGCGACCAAGAGCTCCGTAATTCAATCCAGACGCTCAATGACTAACTGCACCTACTGTTTCAGCGATCTCATACCATGCTCATGGGCATATGCAGCAGTCAAGCAAGAAGTGTGGAAATTTGCAACATGTGCAACACAAGGTCTCGATGTCTTGAACTACTAACTAGAAGGCTGTGCGGGCACAGCACAAACCTGACCAAAATAACGGTAAGAGCACAACAGCGCAAAATTCCCAGTCAAGCCCCTTTCGGGGCCTCTCCTTCAAACCCTGAGGCATATTAACCAACGTTAATAACCAAGTAATTAGTACTATGTACTCAATAAGTCAATACAAATATAGTAATAAGCTTTAGTTACCCTATACCTAACCAATACATTAAACAAAGAAAATCCCACCCTTAGAAATTTGTTTGTACTGTTACACAGCGGCCTGCACACGCATGCGCCTACGGGGTAGCAAAACAATCCCTCCTTTCAGTCGGGCACTGTTGGTTATGTATTCAACCAGGATCAGTGCCCTTCAAGTGTATTACTTAAACCTGGTCTTTCTCCAATCAAACACATATAGATACAGCCCTGCGCCATTTCTACCCTCTTTATAACTACCTTGGAGTTCCTTCACTTTTGCTTCGCCCACATTGCCAATGAAGCGTCTAAATCGACGCGCGCCAGGGTATACTCTAACGGCCCCCGCGCTCCGCAACCAGCCTAATATCTCCGTTTTGGCTTATTATATGGCTGCCTCGCTCTAGCTAAGCAGTCAACAACATATCAGAAAATGTGTCAGTAACCTAGCACGATGTTTTTGGTGTATCCCTACCGGTAATGGAATTTTTAGCCTTTCGGATACTGCTAGAGGGTGTATGATATCGTTCTCATCTTATAAGTAGCTGCTCAAAGGTCCATGCAATAGGTTTAAGATTTTTTGTCACCGTTATGTATTCCCCACCAAGATCACGAAAAACGGTATACCAAAATGAGAGTTTTACATCCGGTATTCTATGGCTGTTTTCTTCTATATTCCCTTTATACGGTAGAAACTAGTTTAGCTTTAGCTCTACCAGGGGAACTTGGAAAGCCGGACACCGGGACTCATACTCACGGTATTGAAATCCCTACTCCAACCCAGGTCGACAGACCTCCAAAGGTCGTGGAGCGGGTAGATGTCCACCCCTCATTCTTCTACGCTAGCCCGCCGTCTGTGACTTGCATGCCAAACACGGAGATATATCTGGGGAATTTTATGCCCGAAAGAGCCCCCTCCGTCCCCGACAGCGAATACCTAAACTGGCGGACCGAATTTAGCACTAGGAACAATGCGCTGAGTGCTATTGGGCATCGGACTCGTAAATGCATGGAGAGGTGTCGGTGCGACGATGATCTAAATTTTTTAGCTACCGATGATGGTTGGTGCTCAAAAAGTGAGCGTATGAATATATGTAAATTTGTCCTGGGTACGTATGCTTCCCTAGTCGTCTAAGTTTCCCTCTAGAGCAAAGTGGTTTTTTTTTTTTTTTTTTTTAAAAAAAAAAATAAAAATAAAAAAGAAAATTTAATAATAATCAAGTTTCGAATCTCGATAATCGTTTCTACCCATCGATAAGCTAATCGATGGTTAATAGGGTGCTATTGTGTCGTCACGCTCGGGAACCCCGCGCCCAATATACCAGGTGCATCGCTCAATGATTACTATAACACCATCACTCGGTTACGAGAGGAACCAAGGGTAACGAATCCTGACTGGCATTGGGGGCTAGGCCTCTCCCCAGAAGATTACGAGGCAGTAGTGTGGGACAACCACCGTCCCGAGATAATCGAAGCACCCATTCAACCTGGGTGGTGGGTCGACCCCTATCATCTAGGTTATCGTCCAGAGCCCGAGATGCCAGACTATCTCGAAGGGCCAAGCGGCGGTGGGGAGAGGGATCCGCATAATATTAATCCTGCTTTGTTGGGAGGTAACCCTTTTGGTGGTGGGGGGTCCTCCGGCGGTATCCTCAAACGGACAGAGTTGGATGAAACAGAGTCCACGGATAGCGGACGCCACGGGCCGAAATAGTTACCAAAAGCCGAGGGTCCGCAGTTCACGTTGGTGGGCTGTTCCTCGAGAAAGTCTAACCGACATCGCGACGGAAACGACATTGCAGCGACTGGTGCTCTTGCATCAGGTGCAAGGATTGTCTCATACCCAGACCTTCGGCTTGACAGCACGACCGGGCAAGACCCTTGCCGGTGGGGAAGACTGGCACAAGGCGGGCCCTTGAGAAAGGCAAAGTTATCAAGCCATTCTGAAATGGCGTCTACGAGATGGGTAGTAGGAAGGGTAGAAGTCTAGATTACTTTGAATTCATGAAGTCGGTACGCACGGTTGTCTCTTTGGAAAGCATTGAAGTTTACTCGCGGCTAGTCCTCGATATGCATATTAAGTTGTTCCTATTGTTACTATATTTTCTATCCTTGAAACCTTCTTGTTTTCCTTAGGCTTGGGCTAGCACTCTATCGATACTTGGAATATCAAAACAATAACCTTTTCGAATTATGTTATATCGGTTAGGAGACCTAAGACTGTTAGTCCACGCGCTTAGTCCACGCGCCGGTTCTCAGGCCCAGATTGAAAGCTTATGGGTCTTTACAAGGTATATTCAATCGGATATACCTATTAGGTTTCGAGTCAGGTACTAAGTAGAATGGTCAAGACAGTTCTTTTGGTTTAACACCTTCCGGTGTCACAATAAGTTACCCCTAGCTTTGGTCTCCGCGCCAGAATACTGTAATGGGTGAGCTCTTTGAAGAAATACTGCTGTGTAACCTTTAAATTGGCGTGAGGCCCGAGGGCGAATTAGATCCACTTCTACTTAAAGCTATCCTACGTGTCGATGCATGCGCATACATCAATCCGCTTCGGTCTCCGGCCTCTCTATACTGCCGGGTCCGAGGCTATAAATCTTAGATGAGATTAGTCCGTTGAACCCTTGAGATGAAAATATGCGTTGTATGTGTGGTATAAATTCGCCCGTATCCCCTGACTTGGTGCGACTCCAAGCCAGCTCTCGCGCCTGCCAAACATTAACATTACTCTCTAAGCTAAGTCTTTGTAAGACGATAAATCACCTGGAAAATGGAGCCCGCCGGTGAAAAACTGGAGACAGCGCCCGTAGAGGCTACTCCGACGGACGCTCCGGTCGTGAACCCCGAAAGTACGCCCGCGCCCACAGCTGGGCCGTCTACAGCTACCCCCGAAGTTGATTATGTCGCTTGGGATGCTGCAATTGTCGGCGCGATAACATCCCTCCCAGAACCCGACTTAAAATCGCGGTCTCAACAATTTATTTCAAAACATCCAACTGCACTCTCCACATTCCGGTCGACATTGTCGTCCACTCCGCTCGCAATTCCACTTGCACCATTCCAGCAGCATCCAACCTATCTACTTCGCTTCTTGCTTGCAGAATGGCGCGACGAAGACCTTAAGCAGTTTCGAACCGACCTTTCCCTGATTATTTCCAAATCTTTGGAGCGAGTTCTCGCCACGCAAAAATGGCGATCCGGGGACGACGAGTGCTGGAAATTGTTTGAACACAAGGATATGGATGATATGTACGCCAATTTCACGCATCCTGAGGAGAAGGAAGAATTTATACATAAATGGTTCTTCCAAGGATTCTATGGCGTGGATAAGTCGGGTCATCCAGTACACTACGAGCTACTCCCAAATAGTTACCACGAGGAATACATGACACCACTGATAATCCGACGAATCCTAAACAACGAAAAAACACTAAGGGAGCGAGTACTCCGTTACAATCCGCCACTGGGAACTGCAACTCAGGAACAGCTGGCGAACCCACGGTTGGGGGTTACATGGATACTCGATGCTCGTAAGATATCCATGTGGGCTGTTCCACAGGTTTACAAGACAATGACGGGCATGATTACCTACTCGAACAAGTACACCTCAGCGCATTACCCAGAGCAGGGGTATAGGGCATATGTGGTGAATCTAGGAAGTGTCCTAGTGAGTCTGTACAACGTTGCAATGAAGATTATGCCAGCGCAGACACAGAGAACCACAAATTGCTACGGCGGGAGGGACGTCTTGGATGAAGTCGTGGATGGGGACCTGCCAGGGATGTTCGGGAAGGGAGGCTACAAGAATACTGAGGGGTTGAGTGTGGACGAAAAGAGGAGACAGTGGGAGATGGGTGATGCAGGTCCATGGGTCGAGGTTGGGGCTTAGAATATTCGAAAGTCAAAACGTTCTTGAGGAGTGGTAATGGCTGGTGGGTCGTGTTTTCGGAGCATAGAAGGACACCGATTGAGGATTGGGCGTATAACGAATTGGTATTCTTACGTAAAAATTGACAAAAATAGCTTCACTTTAATACTGCTATTCAATAGACAAAATCGATGGAGCACGAATCCAGAGATCCATACGTTATTAAGATTTCAGCTCCAGCGGCGTCCTGCAAACTTCGCTGATATCGTGTAACATACAACCCACCCATGGAGATATGCGTGACAAAGCTGTTGTAGC